TTTGTCAATATGGTTGTATTTTGGTTTTAATCAGCATTTATAGAGAATAAAAAATGGTCACCAAATCAAATGGCTGTGGTTCTTGTCACATGACGTATGAATTGATGGCGTCATTAGTGATAACAATAATAATCATGATGATCAGAGAGGAAACTACAGGTACTGTTATCAGTCACTTCATGTCAACCTTCCTTAAAGAATGTTTATCATGATGTCGTAACATGGTATTGACTTACAAACAAGGATAAGTTGAGCACCGACCTGACAATTGACCTGTATTAGCATGTATGAGTGCCGCCCACTGGCGCTTGTCATTGTTAGTGAAGGGGCCCCAGGTTGTCCGCGATCAAGGCGTGTGCAGCTTCGCGCGGAATCAATTTCATCGTCATGCAATGCACATGCACTAGCCTACATCTGCTCTACCTTTCACAAACCAAATGGGTTAGCTCATTGCCGTGCACCACATACTTCTCGTAAACGCTTTCTCTGCACCGGTCCAACTTATCCTTGTTTGCCAATGCCAGTAACATTGTGCACTGCACTTCTCTTGCATCATGCATTAGTGGTGCAATACAGAACTGTATCACGATTAGGGGTGTCGCGATACGCGAATGTATCGATGCATCGATATATTTTTACTGACGATACGATACACGATACATGCTTGCGTGTATCGATTCTTATTTAAAACTTTATCGATTCAAATTTTTATGCTATATCCATCTCCTTCAAAGTCTTGATAGTAAAATTATGCGAGATCGCTTCGATAAATAGATGTAGCTAGCCTTACTTAAAAAAAAATAGGTTGGAAACTAACAGCTTTGTGATTGGCTACACTATTTTGATGGACCAATCAGCGAGCGCATACGTTGCCGGTAAGGTAATGCTATGAAAAGGCGCGAAAATTATGTATCGCGATACATATCGTATCGTGACCTTAAAATCGTGATACGTATCGTATCGTGAGATTGGTGTATCGTGACACCCCTAATCACGATGCTAACAATATAAATCATAGATTTACAACTCCTGAAACACAATATATATACGATTCATTACAAGTTATAGTGATATAAAAACAGGTCAATGGTAACAGCAACTGACCTTATTCTCGAAACGTTCGTAGCCCTAAGAATTCTTAACTTTGATCATAGCCAATGTGTTAAGAATGGGCTTAAGAAGTTTGTATACTACGAACGTTTCGAGAATAGCTAGCCAGTTTATGCAGTTTCTCCAGCATTTCCTGGTTGGACTGACTGACTGAGTTTGGTTTCACGCCGCTTTTAGCAATATTCCAGCAACATCAAGGCGGGGGACACCAGAAATGGGCTTCACACATTGTACCCATGTGGGGATTCGAACCCGGATCTTTGGCGTGACAAGCCAACACTTTAACCGCTAGGCTACCCCACCGCCCCTCCTGGTTGGATGTAAATAGCAGAATCTGCATATTGCCCCTAAGCTCATATTATGTTTCTCCCTTAGAAAATAATATCTTTGCTATTTGAAATTTGAAAACAAATTAGTAATTTAGAACACACAAATACAAATTGTATCAGTACTATCACATCTATATTATTGAGAAAAGGGAATGTATCGTATCACACTCATCATGCTCATATCATTAGGATACATGATATCGGGATATATTGTATCATGGCCTCGGTGTATCCTTCAACAACACGAAGGCTCATATATGTGTGGCCTCTTATATTAGCTAATGAACGATTATAATGCTTGCCCACTGAATTAAAACATGGACATCCTATATCCCAAACTGACTCCAGACTGTTCCTCAAAGCTATTCTAGTGCTAAGATGAATGTAAAGGTGTTATTCAGTCAGCTTGGAAGTGTTTTTAGGGTTAGGTGTGTGTTAATGTACAGTGAACTCTGGAGCACCATTCTGTGTTGTTGGTAGTGTGTGCAGTATAGTTGGACATGTTCAGGCGTTTTTGTTTTGTGTGTACATTTGCCTATTTGCTGTTTTTTGTATTTTATGTAGATGAGAATTTATTTTTGTGACTAAATGAGTGAGTGAGTGCATAGCGAGTGAGTGAGTGAGTTTAGTTTTAATATGCCGCCTTTAGCTATATTCCAGCAATATCACAGTGGGGGACACCAGAAATGGGTTTGCGCACATTGTACCCATGTGGGGATCGAACCTAGTCAGAGTCTTCCATGTGACGAGCGAACACTCTAAGCACTGGACTATCCCACCGTCCATGACTAAATGAGACAGGGTCACTTATCTGAGTGACTGTCCCTTTAGTGGCGTTAGATATGACATTGACAGTGCTGGGCATTAAACTGCTTACATAAAAATAACAAACGTCACAATGCTTCAGCTTTCCTTCCTAGATTAATCCTACATTTAATGATGATACAAGTACAATGTACATCCTGTGTAATGTGAGGTTTACAGTACTGCACTGATGGGACATGACACAGCAAACAATAGTTTGCAGAAACTGGGCATCCTCAGGAAGATGACAGCTATACATTCGAGTGGAGTGTTCTGAGTTCCTTAGGGACCGTTCATAATTTATGACTAGAGGGGGTGATGATAATTTTTATGGAGAAACATGTACAATGTGAATGATCCCCCTAACATTTATGTACAAAATAAGTGACCCCACCTGCATGTCATGTACAAAATCAATGACGCCCCCTCCCCTTCCCATAATTTCTAAGCATAATTATAAAATAGCTCACCCCCCCACAGCCCCAAGTGCATGTGTGCAAAATTTATGACACCCCTTAGCTTCCCAGAACAAAATGGGTGAGCCCTTTTTGAATATTTGAGTGTTGAAAACCTTTTTGGACCATCGCTTATATTATTTTCTCTCTATCACAGACATCAAGAGCAGTGTTTTGTACCTGCTATGTGTACAAATGCTTGACTGGGCATAGTCATCTCAGAAATATCCCATACCAGAAATGACTTTAAGAAAGTTGTGCATGAATAATGCATACTCAGCGTCATTAATAATGGGTCAAATGATATATATCACATGTAAAAAAAAAGTTTCTCAGAAATAATAGAACTAAGAGTGTCATGAATCATAATGTTTAATGTGTTGAGAAACATGACACATTGTGACATACAGACAAAAAGTTCGAACAGCACCAGTAAGCATCAGTTGTATAGACACCCCACACTCACACACAAAATGAAAATAAACATGGAGTACTCTGTCATTCAATATCTTGTGTACCCTCCACACACATCCAAGACACAGGTGCACCTTGCTCTATGCTCCATATCAAGTTCATAAAGAAAACTTGCAGAATCGCATTCCATTCCTCTACTAGAGCTCTGCAGAGTCCTGGGAGATCCCCTGGTGGTGGGTGACATGTGTACACACATCGACAGAGTTCATCCCAGGTATGTTCAATTGGGTTGAGGTGTGGCGAGCATGGTGACCACTCCATCCACTCTACACCCTGCTGCCTCAGGAATTCCTCGACAATCCCGGCCTTATGAGGCCTAGCGTTATCGTCTTGCAGTAAAGAGGGTCAACAATAAAAGCCATGCATAGCTTGCAGGAATGGTACTGCTATAGGAGCCAGAATCTCATCCCGATAACGCTTTTCGGTAAGATTACCGTAGACCAACTGCAGTGGAGTACGCCCAGCAAGAGTTTTCCTTGCCCAAACCATGACTGACCCTCAGCCGAATCAGTTATGTGTGGCCTCAGTCACATCTGTGATTCGCTCTCCACTGAGGCGATAAATCCACTGCCGACCATGATGGAAAGATAAATTGAATTTGCTTTCATCTGTGAAGAGCACATGAGACCATTGACTTTGATTTCAGCGGCCATGATGTCTACTCCATCTCAAACGCACCATTCTAAGTACTGTTCGTTTCATTGTTACACTGGTCTAACAAACACTAGTAGTAGGTAGTATGACACATGGAAAAATATGACAGTCTGTGGGAAAGGTCATGAAACACGTTTGGAGTAATTCACAACAGGCATTTATAAGTACAATATTAAGTTCTGAATATGGGATGGGTACTAAATAAAAAGTACAAGAACATTGGGAGGGTAATCCAAATAGTTAGAAGAGAGGGTCATTATCTTGTGTAGCATAATAAACCTCTGTAGGGTTAAAAAAGGAGACAAGAGATTTACAGCATGATGTATGTTTACAAAATTTTATGGAAACACGGCATATGTTTGGGGTACATTCACAATATTATACAATATCAATATTTTTCTGACACTCTGACATGAAATAAGCGCAGAATATAGGAGCAATGACACTGTTCTATACAGGTTGGGGTAACCTACCGATCAGCCTATAAAAGGCCAAACGGGATATTTATAGGCCATTCTGCCTATTTTGCTATAGGCCGATCAGGCTATATTTGATCATTATTATTAACATTTCACAAATTATCAATTTCCGCACGAAATGGTTTTAGTAGATCACAGAGATAAATAGATAATGGACCTGCTCAGCTTGCAAAAAAATAAGTTTTTGGACAAAATGGAAACTTATATAATGTTCAGGAAAAGATGTTTCATTTAAGAACACAATTTTGCACAGATTTTCATTTTGAAAACTAAAACTGAATATTTATGTCATTAATTTTCAGTGAAAATTGTCAAATATATTATAGTCTTATATTTAATTAGCAATTTCCAAACTCCTTTAATATTATGTGATGAAAATGCTCAAAAAGGGTTTGAATGAAAACCTTAGGACATCAAAACTTGAATGATGTTAATATCCTCATGCGGAAATGCACCACTTCAAATTTATTTGATAAATGTCACATTTATAGGCAAATCGGCCAATAGCAAAATAGGCGGAACGGCCTATTATATCCCGTTTGGCCTATCATAGGCAGATCAGTAGGTTTCCCCAACCTGCTAGATCTATATGTGTGTGACACTGTGAATGCATGAATCATTTGTCGTGACGAGATGAGATCGGTACACAAACTGCATTAATCTGAATGTTTCAGTCGATGAAAGTTTATACTTACATTTATGGAGGAAGTCGATAAAAATGTTACGATTGTGATGATCTTGATCAGTCTTGAATACATTGTGTTGATATGAACTGCAGTTTTCCTTGAACAAGTTCCAAACAAGTCAGCCCACACCGTAGTCTACACTGACATGATAAACCGGAAGCAGATGATCGGACGATCACATGAGGGTAGATTTAAAAGTCGAGCAGGACTTTGATACGGAATGCCAGTAAACACGCAGAAACTGTTGAGTGCAGGCGGACGGTATGTGTTCGTTGCTAATGGCGTGATCGATGACGCGTTCGGTTGTTACAAATTAGGAACGCGTTTATAATGAAACCTGATTTCGGTATCGGTTTGTTGATCAGGTTTGCTATGGCTTAGTCCAAACCTAGGGAAGTTAGATAAAAGAGTTTGTCATTTTCGTAAACGATTTGGATCATGAATTTCATGTTCTCCATATTTGCCCTAAATACTCTACGCATAGACAACGATATCTGGAAGATTTATATTACAGAAAAACTCACATGTATACATTCTCCTCACAAAACCAAAGACAAGCTGTTGAATTTAATCTGTCTATACGTATTTTTATGAAAGGGTGAAATAGTTATATCTTTCACTGTCCATGAATATTAAGCGTTTGTTTAGTTTATATGTATGCCACCAAGGTCGGGGTTCCAACTGGTTGGGTTGGGATGGGGACTAGTGGGGGTCAACTTGTATTTATATCTCTGCACCATGTTGCCCATTTCTGGTGCCCCCCGCCGTGATACATGTATATGATAGTGGTACTTGTATTTGATGTAATATGTACACATGTATTATTTATATGATAGTCACTATCGATGACGACACATGCTTCACTTAAATTTTGTAATATATGTTGTATGGGAGCGGTGTTGATATAAGCTGTAAAGCTTGTTCCCCAATCCCAATTCATTTTTTATGAATAAAATTATGTTTAAACCGCGATATTGCTGGAATATTGCTAAAAGCGGCGTAAAACTAAACTCACTCACTCACTGCACCATGTACATCGCGTATGTGCTGAGGGTAGCTACAAAATGCAAATTTGGTCGAGTTGCCCAAGGTGTTTTGCCAGATTGTCCAATGGGGTATTCCAAATGTCCCAATTTATTTAAAATGCTTAAATATATGCCATAAATGCATATAGTTTGTTTTGTCAACTTTGATATTATATTCTTCATATAAAAGTTATTAGGATGTTATTTTCTGATTAATATTCCATTACTAAACTCATAAGAGTTAAAGGAATATTCCTGAATAGAAAACACTGTAATGACAATTATTTTGCATGTTATAACTTTTATATGAAGAATATAATATCAAAGTTACCAAAACAAACACTATGCATTTATGTTACATATTTTAACATTGTAAATAGATTGGAACATTTTGAATATCCCCTAGGGCAATTTGACCAAATTTGTTGGGGCATTGTGTAGCTATAGGTCAATTCGACTGGTATACCCTCTGCTGTGATATTATGTTTTTGTATTTTATCTGATTTTGTAGATTTGTACTTTGATCCATTGCATATATGGAAAACGGGCTATGTGGTTGGTACTTGATATGACATATAGAGAAAGCTATGCCATCTCAAATTCCTCGTCTCGTAAGTATGTGTACAGTAAACACGCGTATATTAGAATATCATTTCAAATCAAAATTAAACACACAAATCCATCTATGCATGTGACGACGTGTTTTGGATGAGTAAAATTTGTGTGACCTGGATCAGGCGAGGTTATTGCATTACTGACAGCAAGCGTTAACTAGATTCAACCTGAGTTAACTAGATCCCATTGAATCGCTTTTTAGGGGAAGGGTTGCGTTCTTTATTTCGTAGTTATAATGTTATTTTTGTGTGTGTGTAAAATCAAGGAACTTATGCATGAATAAGTAATCTATCAGGGTGGATTATGTGGCACAAATGATGATATTTTGTAATGATGCGTGCAGGGAAATCTCTCAGTGAATTCACCTTTGATAAGATTAATGACAAATTAATGGATGTTGGGTTATGTCTATGAGCTGCGCGAGTGGTCCACTAACCCGATGCATCAAAACATCGCAGTAGGAATTGTGTACCTTACCTGTGCCAGGATTCTATGATAGATGGGTTATATCCCAGAATATCCCTGGATGTGGGTTCTCCAAGTGGAAGTCTCTCTCTCTCTCTCTCTCTCTCTCTCTCTCTCTCTCTCTCTCTCTCTCTCTCTCTCTCTCTCTCTCTCTCTCTCTCTCTCTCTCTCTCTCTCTCTCTCTCTCTCTCTCTCTCTCTCTCTCTCTCTCTCTCTCTCTTACCCCCAATATAATACATTGATCAATGGCAAATCAACAAATTTTATTATTAAGAGAACTAGATTTACAAGCAGGAAAGGCAACCTATTACACAAATCAACGTTTTTACCAACAGTACTCGAAATACGCAACTTCCCGGAAACCCGTGACAGGTAGATTTCGTGTCGGACGAAGTATACTTCGAAATTTTCTAGAGTTCGTATGAGTCTGCAGTTACTTTGCGTGTCAAATTATCTATCACTATTAGTTGCATATTTTCTAAAAAACAGGGGAAGATTTTGGTCATGGTAATTTATGTGTTTTAAAAATGATTCGAATGTCTGGAAATAGGTCAAATATCTCAAATATAAAACAAATTATATAAGATGAGTATATAACGGCAACATCTTCTTTATTGTATATCACGACGTTTCTGGCTGCTTCTTGTCCCTTCTTCAGGTGATTAAAGACAGATATAGAAAACAAATTATATATACCAGATTTACAGGAAGCCAGACAGACAGACAGACAGATTGTTTATTATAAGTCTCACCTCATTTACAGATATTAAAACAATATAAAATAGAAACATAAGATGAGCCATCCTTAAAAGGATTATGAGAACCTTTTTCCACATAAAATTATACAGAATATAAATATAATGATATATGATATAATAAATTTACATATGTTAACAGACTAATGGTAAAGTTGGCGGCTTCGTTCCTTTAAATCATCAAAGCAGGTCTTGGCTGTTAATTTTACTTAAAGAAGGACTAGACATTATAAACAAACACTTTTCCACATCTGTAAAATTTATAAAGGTACTGTCTAGAAATTGGCACTTATCCAGCAAACATTTTGTGATAGACTGATATAAAGGACAAAATAAAAGTACATGTATTTCATCTTCAACACGGCCAAACAATTAAAACACACCCTCTCATCCACAGGCATATTACTAAAACGTCCAGTTTCTATTAGTAAGGGGCAACTCCGCATTTGAAAATAGCTAACGCTCTTCTGTGTCCTCGTGGTATGTGTTCTGTAGCATAATGCTCTGCTCCATAGTCTATCTTAAAGGCTCTGTATAGTCGAGTTTATTACCTCCCTTGTCATCTCGACCAGTCGGACAATCTATTTTCTTTTTCCATTCATTAAAACATTTTTCGTGTACTGCTTCCTGGACTGTGTGCACAATTTCCTTCCTCCGTAATCCATTATCAACTTCTGTCAAATCAGTCAAGTCTAGTGATGACAGTTAAGCGCTTTATCCAGTTTGTTTTCTTTCTTGAAGCCATCTGTTTTGTCCAGTTAAACATCTTATAAGTTAGTCTGTCTGGGTTTAAGCAAGTAAGTCTAGTGTACATTCTCACGAGAGAGCCCCAGAGTTTCACTGGTGTAGGTGTCCATCCCATGTCGCCTGTCACTGCAGCGTTGGGGTAGATTTCCGCACTCCCATATATAATTTCATAGCTCTGTTTTGTATAATCGTTGCGTATGTAGAGTTTGAGGTCCCCAAAATCGCTGCTCCGTAGTCAACTGTCGACCAGACCATGGCGTCAAAGAGTTTCCTGTATGTGGTGTAGTGCATACCGCCCATGGACTTGAATTTAGAAATCAGTAGACCCAGCGCTTGACCTGCCGAACTAGCTACAACCTTGGCCATCCTTGCGTAGTCTAAGTGTTCTGTTATCAATAGGCCTAAATAACAGTAACTGTCCGTTAGCTCTAGTGACGTAGGACCACACTGAAAGACACAAGTCGTTCTTGGCATATTTACAGGTCTACAGTGTAGAACTTTTGATTTATCCGAGTTTACAGTCATGAAATTGTTCTCACACCATTTGTGTAAAATGTCTAAAAGTACTTTTAGGTCCGCTTCATCTTCAGCTAACAGGACCAGATTGTCTGCATTAGCTGGCACAGTCAGTGTTTCGTCAATGAACTTCACACCAATATTGAAACTCTTTATGGTAGTTATCAAATCATTGACGTAGACGTTGAATAGCAGAGGGGAGAGAAGGCATCCTTGTTTAAGCCCACACTTGACGTTAAACCATTCAGTCATATTTCCATTTATTCTGACACAACTCTTCACACTCTTGTAAAGGGAGATAACAGCTTCATACGCCTCCCAAAGATTCCAAGATCAGACAGTTTTCTCCACAATATAGACCTATCAATATTATCATAAGCCTTTCTAAAATCTATGAATGCTAAAAACGTCGATTTCCTTAAAGATTTCCGAGTTTCCACTATGGATGTGAGTGATGATATATGTTCTACTGTGGACCTATCCCCCTATTGGGATAACACTTTCTTAGTAAAAGTACAAATTCTAGTACTTTTTGAGTTGAGCCCCATCCGGGATTCGAACTCACACCCTCAGAGTCAGGTACCCAATCGCCAGCACACAAAGTCAGCGGCCTAACCCAATCAGCTACCGCGACTTCCACAAAAATGGAAGTCCGACAAGAATTTGTACTTTACTAAGAAAGTGTAATCCCAAATATAATACATGTTACATTTGACCACTTTCTAAATGGCATTGTGTAATCATAGCTTTCGGCCGTGGGAGCCGTGCCAATTAACACTTATCAGAGGGGTACACAAAGCCCGCATTCTAGACTACCAGTTGTCCGACTTCCATTTTGTGGAAGTCGCGGTAGCTGAGTGGGTTAGGCGGCTGACTTTGTGTGCTGGCGATTGGGTGCCTGACTCTGAGGGTGTGAGTTCGAATCCCGGATGGGGCTGTACATCACTAATTAGCTGTACATCACTCTACTGTATTCACATCCCTTTATTAACACATGTTAATTAGGTGACGATTAGATTTGCCGGAAGCCAGATATGTACATGTGAGGTGAGGTGAAATTTGGTTTTACGTCGTGCTTGATAATATCTCGCTCATATGACGACGTGCATGCGTGTGTATGTGTATGTGCGGCTGCTTGACCTTTTCAGCAGTCTCGGCAACAGATCCATTGGTCTCCCATACCCATGATATTCTGTTATGATATTGGCTTGAAAAGATATTCAAGAAACACTAACTAGCTATGTTTTTCTAATGTACATTCAGTGTACTGCGACACATAAAATATTCTGCATCCCCGGATACTTTGAGTGAGTATGTTTTACGCCCTTTTAGCAATAGCAAGTATTCTAGTAATTCACAGTGTACCCATGATTGGAATCGAACCCGGATGTTCAAAGTGATGAGGCCTAAGATCTAAAAATGCACCTGTGGCATAACATGTAACTTTTCTCCACAGGAGTCTAACTTCCCGTCGGAAATACAGATTACAAAAGCCGTATATGATCGGATTGACGACACTATTGATGAAATACGACCTCAGGAACAAACTGTACAGCACTGCCCCAGCTCCTTGAATGCCTGCAAACGTTTCCTTAGAGGCTGTTTGGCCGCCATTAAACACAGATGAGGAAGAAAGCTCAGTACAAATACAAGGGTGATCAGAAACAACATAAACAGTGTCTTGTGTGACCTCCTGTTGTTTCTTGATGGTGGTTCCAAGCCGGCTAGATGGTATCTTCTTTCGAGGAACCTCATTCCTTCATCTGTGTTCAGACTCTCCTTGACGAAGGTGTTCGTCAGTTGGTGGGCTCGATTCTGACGCTGCACACGTGTTTTCAGGAGCATGAGACTGGACAGTAAAGGACACAATAGATTTGTGTAACTGCTGCTCTGGGTTCTGCCTGGTTCTGTTCTTGTTGAAGAATGTCCTACGTCTAGCAACCTGCCTCCATATTAGGCTGTAGAGGACAAGAAGGCATAGTGTAGCAGCCACGAAAATGAAGAACTGAGCACCATTATAGATGCTTGGATATGGCGTCCCTCTGTAGTCGTCTGATATCGAACAATCTGAACCGTTGATGTGGATGTTGTTTGTGGTCACTGTCTTTACACCGTAGATAATAGCAGCCGGAAAGGCGACAAGCAAAGACATGACTGAACACACAGCGATTGAGACTTTAGCATCTAACCATGTTGCCTGTCTTTGAAAAGGTCGGCAAATTTTCCTGTACCTGTCCACTGCTACAGCTAGGAGAATGGACCCAGACGCATTCGATACAAATGTTATGATTACTCGCATGACCTTGCACAAGCCGTATCGTGCTAATGTGAATCTATATCTCATGTCAGCTATTTCATGAGGTATGCATATGCCACAGTTGATAAGGTCAAATATTGCCAGGGCTATTATATATCTATTGGTGGGGCTTGGTTTGAATTTTGCAATGTACACGTAACAGACGAGCGAGTTCCCCAAGAAGCCTAGCACCATCAGAACAGCAAGATACAAGGTGGCAGGCAGAACCTGGAGGGCGTAACGATGGTCGTAGTCACGAAGGAAAGTCTTAAGGTCGTTCTGGAAACTGGCGTTCTCCATCATATGCAGAGACTGCTGGAACATCTGAATGACCGATGGGAAAACTGTTCGTCTTCTCTGGACATCAATGGCGACCTGAAACAGTAAATAGAACTGGCTTTGTTCTGATTAACATCAGTTAAGGTAATGGCAGTCCGAATCCTCTGAGGAAATGTTGATACCAATAAAGGCTGTTCTTGCATGAGTGTCAACGTTTTGCTTTCATTATGCCATTAGCTCAGAGTCAGCATTTACGTGGGGACCCAACCAAATACTGGAGACCTTACCACTGGGACGGTAACCCTCAACCCTTTCTTCAAATCGAATGAAGGCATTTCAGAAAGAAATGTTCCCACTACACACTCTTATTGCAAGTATGAAAATAATCCATACGGTCCACTCAACATGTCAGAAGGCAAAAAAACAAAACAAATGTGTTGACTAAATCAAACTGTTATGACCATATTTCAGAGAAACATAATGTATTTCCAAAAACGTCACCCCAAGCCCTTCCACCACGTTAAATATAAAAGACCAAAAGAATATAACTGTTAAATCGCCAGCTCCTTGACTTCTACTAATGGAGCACCTAGGGTCATCTATAGAGGGGCGTACACAAACCAGCAGAACCACATTTTCTCTTGTGGTAAAATTTGATGCTCTGTTGTTACTGATACTGAAAACCCACCATGACATTCTGTGAAATGATGACGTTTTGAATAAATCAGGGATTTTCACCGCTAGGTATTTATGGATCCTTTTGTCCTTGATTTAGATGGATATATCTAATGAAAGTATATATTCATAAACATGCATAAATCATTAAATAGATAATGTTTAGATAATGTCAGCTACAACTCGATACAGTTGAGAATCATTAAGTACTGGGAAGAGAAGGCTCCATTTGTGATTGAAATTATTTATTTCATTATTTTATTTGTTGAGAATATTTGTTTTAGAGTTTTTATATATGACGTTAGATTTGGAAGCATAATTTTAATACTTCATATATGAATATGTCTCTTCGCAGCAATGATGATATGATTTTTCATTCATTTCATGTATAAAACCAAATTATCTAAATAATAAAAACAGTTTCTAAATAATAGTTATAAGTGGATATAAATCAAATGTTAAATCAATTGAAGCTGGCGTCCCTCAGGGTTCAGTCCTAGGACCTTTACTCTTTTTGGTTTATATCAATGATATTGTTGAAGATATATAGTGTAATAGTAAAGTATTTGCCGATGATACATCCTTATACGTGATAATTGATGACCCTATTTTATCTTCCAATATGTTAAATGATGATTTAGAAATAATAGCTAAATGGGCCCAGACATGGAAAGTAGACTTTAATCCCAATAAAACTGAATCTATCATTTTTACTAGAAAGAAAACAGTAACATCAATGCCAGATCTTATAATGAATGACATACCGATAAAGTCTGTTGACACTCATAAACATCTGGGGCTGACTTTACAAAGTGATGGCCACTGGAATATACATATAGATGATATTATTTCTAAAGTTAGTCCTATGATCAATTGTTTAAGAAGTCTGAAATACCGCCTTCAGAGGAAAACCCTCCAAACCCTGTATAGTTCATTTGTTTTACCACTTTTTGACTATTGTGATTATATTTGGAACAACTGTACACAAACTCAAGAGTTATTGTTAGAAAAACTTCACTTAGATGCTTTAAGAACGATATGTGGATCTGTTAGAGGAGTCAGCCATTCCAAAATCTATCATGAAACTGGTTTTTCACCATTAAGGGAACGTCGCAAAAATCACCAAATGTGTGTAGTTCATAACATGTTCCATAATAAAACTCCAAAGTATTTATCAGATCTAATTCCAATAAACATATATTCTGTATCCACATATGAATCTTGATCTAGTAATATACTCCAAGTACCATTATGTCGTACGGAAACATAAAAAATCTTTTTTACCATCCTCTGTGATGGAGTGAAACAGTTTAGATAATGATATAAGAAACATAGATTCCGTTGCCATGTTCAACAAACACTTTGATCGAACTGTCTCATCCAATGTACATCATGTCTGGAACATCAACACTGGAACTAGATTTAACCAAATAATTCATTGTAAGTTAAGACTTGGCTGTAGTGACTTAAATGCACATAAAATTGCCCGTTTTCTTCAAAATACGTCTACTTGCTCTTGTGGCCATCATTATGAAGATGTCATTCATTTTCTATTTATCTGTCCAAATTTTCCTACAATTCGATCGAAGTGTTTCTATTACATAAATGGTTTTAATATTCAATCTGTATTATGTGGAAGTTACTCATATTCTGACGAAATCAATGAAAATATTGTAAATCTGTACATGACTATTTTAACTTAACAAAACGATTTTTACCTAATTGATTAATTTTACTACTGTCTTTTTCATTAAGTCTTTTACTCTTCAAATGGTGTGTTCTCTTGTCTGTAACGATGAATGTAAAATGTTTCCTATCGCATTGTATTCGGAGAGGTGTATATATAGGCTTATAACCTGTTTACCAATCCCTTCATTAAATAATGAATAAACATTGTTTAAAACAAACAAATGTTCACATGCTACCAGAAATTTATTCCCCTGTGATCTAGTATTATGTGGTATTTCAGAATCCTTCCACAGTGATGCTCAATTTGACTTGATAATTTTACTAGCTAAATTTCATATCTATAAATGTAAACTTACAAATCGAATTCCATATTTACCCGTATTTAAAAAAGAATTGAAATATTACCATAAAAATAGAAAAATTTTTTTTTATACCAAAGCAAAGTTTGAAGAATACCATAGCAAATAGAACAAATTTGAAATCTTTTTCAGGAGTAAATATTGACAATGTAAGTTAGTTTATTTCTGGTTAATTCATCTATAGTATGAATGTGTGAGTGTGAATGTTGTATTTATGTGTAAAAAACAACAACAAACAAAACTATACCAGTTTATATACAGTGTACATGTCTTATACAACTCTAAACGTTGACTTCAGAAGCAATTGGAACTCCAATGTAACTCTACATGTTCGTTTGCATAATTATGTAGACATCATATTGCAACAGTGAGGAGCATGACAGTATATCTTTCTAAATCAAAGGGACTGTTTTCCAGTTCTCCAGTTCTGGATGGATTAAACGGCCCAATGTAGGCTCTATCAAACATCCGTGACATCTATTTCAAAGCTGTATATCACCTTCTGCGCGTTTTTTCCTTCTGCATGGTATTGGGAAGTGTTGTTAGTGTCTGTCAGGCCAGCATGACATATAACATTTTGGAACCTTGTGGAGTAATGTGCAGTCATGGGACAAACCAGACATCATCGTACAAGACCTGAACCTCTACGTGTCAAGCCAATTCTCCCTCCCGCACCCTTCAGTATCTTGTTGTTGGTTGTCTCTACAGTAAAGTCCATCACGACAGTATTGAGCTTTAAGCGAGACACCTTTGCAACAAAGTCCTTATTTTGAAATGCTTCCACCAACTCTGTCGGTCTTCATCAGCAGCAGTGAAACTGGCAAGCAGAGGGAGTAGTTCCCACGGTTGGTTGCATACAGGAGTGTCATTATTTTGGCTTCTATATTCTGGTTCTCATGCCTAATTCTGCTTTTGATCTAGTGAATAGGTCGAAATTATGGATGGTGTTGATAAAGACAGGGGGTTTCTCCAAAAATGTTAAACGGAGCACAAGCTTTATACAATCGAGTACGTCCATGTGTTAAGTATAATAATATGTATTCGGATATGTTTGACTGTGGTTTGGGTGTACGACAGGGCTGCGTCCTCAGCCCTTATCTGTTCTCTATCTTTATTAATTTATTAGCACAGGAAATTGAATCCACATGTAAACCCGGTATCCAGATTCATCCAGAGATGATTAAACTGTTCATATTATTGTTTGCCGACGATGTCATTTTGAAATCTGACACAGTCATTGGTCTCCAGAAAATAATAGACATTATTGAATCATATTGCAATAATTATCAGTTAACAGTTAATTTGGAAAAGACTAAAGTGGTTGTTTTCAAGAATGGAGTATTCTCTCGAGAAGGGAAAGATTGCATTCTGGAGAGAAATGTCTCGAGTGCGTGCCATTCTATAAATATTTGTTTATTACTTTTACTAAAACATTGTCGTGGGATAAACATACCAAAAGTGCAACTGCTCAGGCTAGAAAATTTCTGTTAGGTATATTAAGGACATTACATAGATTTAAACCAATTCCGTCTGAATTATTTTTCAGGATATTTGACACTAAAATTATGCCTATTTTACTCTATGGGTCTGAGGTGTGGGGTTAAATAGCGTAACAAGTATAGAAACCATTCATATGTTTGCGAGTAAACGCGTCCTTGGAGTGAAGACATCGACACCAACTTACACAGTACTGGGTGAATGTGGCAGGTACCCTTTGTATATTTTCGCATTTAAACGTTCCATAAAATTTTGGATTAGATTGTTATATATGCCTAATGTAAGATATTCAAAAAAGTGTTATAACATGCTTTTACAAGCAGCTAATAATGGTAAAAATAATTGGGTTTCCAAATTGATGTACTTACTGTTTGGACTTGGATTTGGCAAGGTATGGGAGTCGCAAACAAAAAGTAGTAAAGAATCCTTTATCGCGGAACTTATGGCAAGATTAAAATGTTCGTTTGAACAAGACTGGCATTCCTTTTCAGCAGTATATATACTCTGCAAAAAAGAAACGCACAGGTGATAATGAAATTTAAAATTAACTTTATTTTATTTCTATGCAAACAAAACCCGGTTACTTTAACCAAACATAATGTATACTTGTTCATATCCATTAAGTATCGCTCAAACACACCATTTCATGAAATATTGTTGTTTGATGATGGTTTTGAAAATATCATGAAATTTTCACGTGTAAATGACACTTCGAACGATATGCACGTGAAAGTTGCTTCACCTATGCACCAGTGTGTAGGGTATATGAGGAAGGCAGTTTAACGTGTTCAATTCACTTTCAACGCCAGTTTACTGACGAATTCAACATGCCACGACTTAGCGAAGCTGACCGGAACATCGCCATCGGACGTCTTGAAGCTGGCGAATCTCAGTCATCAGTTGCAAGACACTTCAACGTGCATCACACAACAATTTCCCGTTTATGGAGGCGCTACAATCAACTGGGCTCGACCCGCGACCGACCTCGGAGTGGTAGACCACGGGTAACCAATGCTGCACAGGACCGCTACATCCGGGTGTTCCATTTACGTAACCGGGCCGTCCCAGCAACACAAACAGCAGAGAACGTCCCAGGTCTTCGCCGCGTCTCCGCCCAGACCATCAGAAATCGCCTCAGACAGCACGGGATACGCCCTCGACGACCTCACGTAGGATGCACACTACGACCTCATCATCGCCTGGCACGTGTTCGATGGTGCAGGAACGTCCAGAGATGGAATTGGAGACATTGGCAGCGAATTTGGTTCAGCGACGAATCTCGTTTCCAACTTCAAAGACACGATGGTAGGACGAGGGTCTATAGACGGAGAAACGAACGTTACGCCCGTAATTGTGTAGTTGAAGCGGACAGATTTGGAGGGGAAGTGTGATGGTATGGGGGCCATTTCTTACAACGGAGAAGTGACTTGGTGCACGTCCGTGGTAACCTGACTGCAATTCGTTACAGGGATGAAATTCTGCAACGTCATCTTTACCTGTCATCAACCCTCAACGTCACGTTTTCCAACAGGACAACGCCAGACCGCACGTGGCTCGCATCACGATGGACTACCTGACGAATCAGAACATCACAGTTCTTCCCTGGCCTTCAAAATCCCCGATTTGAACCCAATAGAGCATTTGTGGGACCAGCTTGGGAAACGCGTTCGACGTCGTCAGCCTCAACCCCAAACGTTGCAACAACTGTCTCAAGCCTTGCAGGAGGAATGGAGGAGGATCCCCCAAGCACGGATTCAAAGACTGATCATGTCCATGGACAGGAGGTGCCAAGCTGTGTTGCAAGCTCGAGGTGGTCACAACAGGTACTGACCTCCACGCCATCTGTACGCCCGGTGCAATGGTTTCAGAGACAAATGATAGCTGCATGTTGTAAAGCTGACTCTTGACAACATCCATGTGAAATTTTACGTTCGTGCGATCATTAGTTAAAGTTTTATTTGGAAACAAAATAAAGTGTTTACATTCCTGAGTTTTCACCTGTGCGTTTCTTTTTTTGCAGAGTATACATTATAGATAAGGTTGAATAACACAGTTGAACTGCTGGTCAGATGTCTTCCTGCATTTCAATACAATATAGACTCCCCACATAGGAAGTGTGTATTGTGTTGCCTGCTTGCTGAAGAGGTCACTCCTATATGTATCTTAGAAAGTAATTGATGATGACACCATTTGATATTCCCCACTGAAACATTACAATGGTTTGGTGTTTCTTAAAATATGGACGCTTTTTCCTTCATTTTCAGTAGCAGGGGACATGAAGTTGTTTGATTAAAGCTACTTGCATAGCAATAATTTCAGCTGACTTTCAAAAGTACTCAGCTGAAAGTTGTCATAATGATGTAGCCATGGTATTTCATTGGATTGATACTTGTTCTAAATAGAGCCTTACAGATGTTTGGGGTGTATTTTGTTTTATTTTGTGTTAAGCAAATATCATTTTAAAACGTATTATTTCTCTAAAATCAGTCTTTTCTTACTGTTTGCCCTGTTATTGCTGAATGGGGAAAGTTCACATTTAAGAGATGACATGTATTATGTTTATTGGCTTATTGATAAATGGGGAAAGTTCACATTTAAGAGATGACATGTATTATGTTTATTGGCTTATTGATAAATGGGGAAAGTTCACATTTAAGAAATTACATGTATTATGTTTACTGGCTTATTGCTGAATGGGGAAAGTTCACATTCACGAGATTACAATCATGTATTATGTTTACTGGCTTATTGATGAATGGGGAAAGTTCACATTTAAGAAATTACATGTATTATGTTTACAGGCTTATTGATGAATGGGGAAAGTTCACATTTAAGAGATTACATGTATTATGTCTACTGGCTTATTGCTGAATGGGGAAAGTTCACATTTAAGAGATGACATGTATTATGTATACTGGCTTATTGATGAATGGGGAAAGTTCACATTTAAGAGATGACATGTATTATGTATACTGGCTTATTGATGAATGGGGAAAGTTCACATTTACGACATTTTATGTATTATGTTTACTGGCTTATTGATGAATGGGGAAAGTTCACATTTAAGAGATTACATGTATTATGTTTACTGGCTTATTGGTGAATGGGGAAAGTTCACATTTAAGAGATTACATGTATTATGTTTACTGGCTTATTGCTGAATGGGGAAAGTTCACATTTAAGAGATTACATGTATTATGTATACTGGCTTATTGATGAAAAAGGAAAAGTTCACATTTAAGAAATTACATGTATTATGTTTACTGGCTTATTGATGAATGGGGAAAGTTCACATTTAAGAAATTACATGTATTATGTCTACTGGCTTATTGCTGAATGGGGAAAGTTCACATTTATGAGATTACATGTATTATGTTTACTGGCTTATTGCTGAATGGGGAAAGTTCACATTTACGAGATTACATGTATTATGTTTACAGGCTTATTGATGAATGGGGAAAGTTCACATTTAAGAGATTACATGTATTATGTATACTGGCTTATTGATGAATGGGGAAAGTTCACATTTACGACATTTTATGTATTATGTTTACTGGCTTATTGATGAATGGGGAAAGTTCACATTTAAGAGATTACATGTATTATGTTTACTGGCTTATTGATGAATGGGGAAAGTTCACATTTAAGAGATTACATGTATAGTGTCTACTGGCTTATTGCTGAATGGGGAAAGTTCACATTTAAGAGATGACATGTATTATGTATACTGGCTTATTGCTGAAAGGGGAAAGTTCACATTTAAGAAATTACATGTATTATGTTTACTGGCTTATTGATGAATGGGGAAAGTTCACATTTAAGAAATTACATGTATTATGTCTACTGGCTTATTGCTGAATGGGGAAAGTTCACATTTAAGAGATGACATGTATTATGTTTAATGGCTTATTGCTGAATGGGGAAAGTTCACATTTAAGAGATTACATGTATTATGTTTACTGGCTTATTGATGAATGGGGAAAGTTCACATTTAAGAGATTACATGTATTATGTTTACTGACGTATTGATGAATGGGGAAAGTTCACATTTAAGAAATTACATGTATTATGTTTATTGGCTTATTGATGAATGGGGAAAGTTACATTTAAGAGATTACATGTATTATGTTTACTGGCATATTGCTGAATGGGGAACGTTCACATTTACGAGATTACATGTATTATGTTTACAGGCTTATTGATAAATGGGGAAAGTTCACAATTAAGAAATTACTTGTATTATGTTTACTGACTTATTGCTGAATGGGGAAAGTTCACATTCACGAGATTACAATCATGTATTATGTTTACTGGCTTATTGCTGAATGGCGAAAGTTCACATTCACGAGATTACAATCATGTATAATGTTTACTGGCTTATTGATGAATGAGAAAAGTTCACAATTACGAAATTACATGTATTATGTTTACTGGCTTATTGCTGAATGGGGAAAGTTCACATTTACGAGATTACATGTATTATGTTTACTGGCTTATTGCTGAATGGGGAAAGTTCACATTCACGAGATTACAATCATGTATTATGTTTACTGGCTTATTGCTGAATGAGAAAAGTTCACATTTATGAGATTTTATGTATTATGTGTACTGGCTTATTGCTGAATGAGAAAAGTTCACATTTATGAGGTTACGTGTATTATGTTTACTGGCTTATTGCTGAATGTGAAAAGTTCACATTTATGAGATTACATGTATTATGTTTACTGGCTTATTGCTGAATGTGAAAAGTTCACATTTATGAGGTTACGTGTATTATGTTTACTGGCTTATTGCTGAATGAGAAAAGTTCACATTTATGAGGTTACGTGTATTATGTTTACTGGCTTTTTGCTGAATGTGGAAATATGTGTTTTCATTTTTACCGTTTGATGACTTTGCAGGGTGTCAGTTCAGTCCATCTTAACAGCTGTGGTCACAATCTGTCTTCATTTTCTTTTTTACTTTACCCAGTGTATTCATTAAAAGACACTGGATGTGCTTCCTTCGCTGCTGATCGACTTCCTCATGTATACGAATCGGGGTTTATGAATAGTGTATTCTAAATATTAGTGTTCCTCATACTGAAATGCCTGGAATAGGAGTGAACGCGGTATAAACTTTATTCCAGATCCTAGATGCTTTTGCATGAAAACCTTGTATGAATACATTAATTTCCTTACTTCCTTGTTTGATACTATGTACTTCCTTACAGATAACATACCAATGAAATTTGACGAGAGGGCATTTCATCAAGACGTAGGCATCTTCTTCTGATCAGTTTCTTAATGCGTAACTATGAATTCCGTTTCACAGATTTACCCACCTGACGTAGAAATAAAAGAGTCCACTGAACCGCTGCATGTATTCTATCGTTTAGAGGTCAAGTTTCTGGTCAACCATGATTCCCATTATGTCGCTCAGTGTTACAACGGCTGCAGTCTTAAATTGTGTCCATGTTTCACAATGTGTAGGTCCAATCAGGGTTACAAACATTAATGCTATAGTTATTTTTCAAAACGTTTTGGGGTAGACTTGTGAGGGGCATTTCCAAATCTGTGACGAAAATGACATCCCATGTAATTCCTTATACCCATCAGTGGTTATTATACTGTCGTAGTTGTACTCAGTCGGACTCATGTCTCACGATTCTGGAATGGTTTTGTCGCTGTAATCATGTGTTGATTATTGCTCATAAAATAATCTCCAGCTTGACGTCAAATTTCAGTAGTTTTTCCACTTAGCCTGGGCTCAAAGTGTCTGTCATATTTTTCAGAGCAATATCACTTGTAGACGGATCAAAAAGTCGGTGATGAGTCAAGGAAGGTTTATTGTGGGATATCGTATATCTCATTTGTGATGCATGAGAGCATCACTTTATATGGAAACGAATTAATATACCTCTTTACTCACCTTGAGTTATCGGTCTGCCGTGAAAATGTCTAGCTGTTGGCAAGCGGAAGAAGTTGCGGCCTTGAACAAAACATGCAAATGAGTAATGTTTAAGTCAACGGGAAATCGAATATTCCCCCACAATGAACAGTCTGGGCTAGCATGCTGAACACGCAGGTTTGTTATGACAGTGGCTGCGCGCGACCATATACATGTCAAAGTTCGTCGTAAGTCATGACGGGGGCGGTGGGGTAGCCTAGTGGTTAAAGCGTTCGCTTGTCACGCCGAAGACCCGGGTTCGATTCCCCACATGGGTACAATGTGTGAATCCTATTTCTTGTGTCCCTAGCCAAAATATTGCTGGAATATTGCAAAAAGCGGCGTAAAATCATACTCAAACTGTATGCCTCAACCTGTATGGATATGCTTGAAATGTACAGCTTGCACTTTAGTGGCTGAACAGAGCGTGAACTTATCGCAGCCCCGCCCCTCCCACCCCCTCTCTCTCTCACTCTCTCTCTCTCACACACACACACTAACACCAAACTAACACGCAAAACACAAATACTCTCTCACAGACACAAAAAGTAACACCATCACTCACACACACTCACTTAAACTAACACATTAGACAGACAGACAGACAGACGGACGGACAGTCAAACAGACAGACAGACAGACAGACAGACAGAAAACATCTTTAATAGTGAACATATATGTATTCACCGGCGCTTGGCTAAGATGAGATTGTGAATTTAAGAGGCATATGGTTCGTTGTTAACTGATTTTCAGTGGAAAACTTCTGTGCTGAGATATGTTCTTCGTGACATACCTTCATCAACCGAGGTAACCACATTTCATCTTCATCCGGGGTTAGCTAGATTAAACCAGGATTGATTAAATACAATACACGAAGCATAAGGCAAAATGGAATCTTCATTATGAAACAAACTGGCTTCCTGGAGCCAGAGAAACACAAGAGAAATATCTTGTTTAAATCAGATCTTAGTTCTCGATTCCGCTACACATGCTGGGGTGATGGGGCAGCCATGTTGTTAAAGCGTAGTGTGACACAGCCGTAGTTTAAAATGGATACCCTACTTAGACACAGTGTACTAGCTTCGAGCTGACCAGTTCCTTCTTATCCCCCAATCTACACCGCGACGGGCATGGTAGCAGAATACTATGGAATGCAAGAAAGGACATGTTTCGCGTTGCCGCATTGCCGTCCTTACAAAAACAAGCGAAAAAGAGGCAAAATTAACCAAAGTGCGACAATTCGACAACGCGGCAATGTCCCTTCTACGATTCCATAGAATACCACCTTTTGACGTCATTGCGAGAACACGTCGGGGATCGGACCACCGACCTCCGATCTCCAGGAAGACGCTCTGTCCACTAAGCTACAGCGGGTGACACGTCTCACATGAAGCCGGCATGTCAACTAAAATGCTGTTGAAAGTTAAAACTTACCAACAACAAAGAAAGCGATACAAATGCCACACTAAAACGATATTGTTTTTAGTTGAATGAATTTTTGAATCCCAAGTTGAAAGGAGTATGCTAACCTAGAATTCGGTACGTATAGAACGTACTTGTGAAATAAGTAAAGGACCATAAAAGATCAGTGGCAAATCAACAAATTTTATTAAGAGAACTAGATTTACAAGTAAAAAAGGCAACACAGTAGAGCTAAATATACGGAACACTATTATGTACTAGAACCTATCAAACAAATCAACTTCTTATCAACAGTATTCAAAATATGCAAACCTGTGACAAATAGATTTCGTGTCGGGCCAAGTAGTTTCAAATTTGTCTTGAGTTCGTATACGTCTGCACTTAATTTACGTGGCAAATTATCTGTCACTGTTAGTTGCATGTTTTCCAAAAATAGGGGAAGATTTTGGTCAGGGTAGTTTATGTGTTTTAAAAAGGATTACGAATGTCTAGAAGTATCTCAAATATATTAAAATTCATGCAGTTTCAAATTTTAAAAAGAACTAACTCCGTATACTTTCCTTTTATTTTTCAATGGAAAACATTGTAGGTCTAGGAAAAAAATTCGCCTACTTCAAAACAGGTTAGTAAAAATGGGTGGCGAACGAATAGAAGTTGTTTTGAACGCCAGTGGCGACATTCGCATGGAACTAAATTAAACACTCCCTAATATATTTCATCATAGTGATGTAGCTGTCGCTGATGATGATGTGTCAACGATACTATTGTTAGTAGCACCTTTCAAATAATGAAACACGAGATTTCAGTTTGAAAGTGTTGCCAAAACGCAGCCCACATTCATGTGATATCATGAAAAGCAGTATCTCTGCCTGAGCGTATAAAATTAAATATGCTATCTGTGCCATTCATACATGTAAATATGGCGAGGAGAAGACTTTCATTGGGACTGACCAGTGATGATCTCGTGTTAGAATTGGTCTTCAGCAACCCACGCTTGTGGTGAGAGGCGACTAACGGGATCTGGTGGTCAGGTTCGCTGACTTGGTCCACACATGTCATCGTACCCCAATAACGTAGATCGATGCCCATACTGTTGATCACTGGATTGTCTGGTCCAGATTCCATTATTTACAGACCGCAGCTATAAAGCTGGAATAGTGCTGAGTGCGGCGTAAAACAACAAACAAACAAATCAACCAAGACAGTGCGTAATTGTCTCAAGGTTCTTGCTTTGAGGTCCCCAAGGATCATCAGACGTCCAACTCTGACTCATGAACATCAAAGGCAACGTCTAGGAGGATGTTGTGCTCGACGGCGCTGGAATCTTGGGATCTGGATACGAAGTCACTCGTCCGGTGAAAGAAAGTTCCTGCTTCATGTTCCGGATGGTCGTTTGAGAGCATTACCATGTGCTGAGTAATAATTCAACCTGTTGTGGAGGCTGACATCCAGGCACGTGGCGGATACACGATATACTGATGTCAAAGACCTCAGTAGACTTCAAGGGTCCTATACAGATCGCGGGATCCGACACTATCTCATCACGTGTCATCCCAGGATAGTTTGTTTTCTATGATCGGCTGTTCCACAAAATCAACTGCGTTGACATTTTTACGCACAGGACCTACAGATTAACACATTGCCTACATTTTGCAGGTTTGTCTGTAGTCATTATCCAATCTTCCACCAAACAATCAGGCTTTATTGTTCTAGAAGCATGAACATTCTGACACTTTTCTGTTCATATCACTGTTCTAAAACATGGGGGTGCTTAATTAAGTTCCATTATATAAAGTTTTTCACTCACATGAAAAAGAAATTGACTTGCTTGCATTCAGCATGTGTAAGAGTTAGACTTACAACAACATACCAAAAGGCTGAAATGTGTCCCAGGCTTGTTTGCAAATGAGATTGAGGCAGTTTGTACATCAGTTAGAGTTTCAAGATAAAAAATGCAGGTTGTAGGAGAGAAAATTCTGATTCACTGGCAAAACTGATTCACTGGCAGCACGTATTGTAACATGGATCATCTCCAGTAGATAGTGTATCCTGAGGTCAAATGACCTTTTCAGCAGTCTCGGCAACAGATCCATTGGTCTCCATAACCCATGAGGTTCTGTTATGATATTGGTTTGGATAGATATTCAAGAAACGGTAACAACTATATTTTTCTAATGTACAATCAGTGTACTGCGACAATCACATATTCCGCATCTTCGGATACTTAGAGTGAGTATGTTTTTACGATGCTTTTAGTAATATTCTAGTAATATCACTGCGGAAGACCCCCGAAATGGGCTTCACACAGTATACCCATGAGTTGAATGGAACCCTGATCTTTAGCGTGACGAGCCCTCAGATACCGTACCTGTGGCATCACATGTAACCTTTCTCCACAGGAGTCTAACTTCCCGTCGGAAATACAGATTACAAAAGCCGTATATGATCGGATTGACGACACCATTGATGAAATACGACCTCAGGAACAAACTGTACAGCACTGCCCCAGCTCCTTGAATGCCTGCAAACGTTTCCTTAGAGGCTGTTTTGGCCACCATTAAACATAGATAAGGAAGAAAGCTCAGTACAAATACAAGGGTGATCAGAAACAACATAAACAGTGTCTTGTGTGACCTCTTGTTGTTTCCTGACGATGAATGTGTACTTAGCGTGCTAGCAACATGGACATCTTCTGGTGGTTCCAAGGCGGTAGAGGTACTTTTCGAGGAACACATTCCTTCATCTGTTTCAGACTCTCCTTGACGAAGGTGTTCGTCAGTTGGTGGGCTCGATTCTGACGCTGCACACGTGTTTTCAGGAGCATTAGACTGGACAGTAAAGGACACAATAGATTTGTGTAACTGCTGCTCTGGGTTCTGCCTGGTTCTGTTCTTGTTGAAGAATGTCCTACGTCTAGCAACCTGCCTCCATATTAGGCTGTAGAGGACAAGAAGGCATAGTGTAGCAGCCACGAAAATGAAGAACTGAGCACCATTATAGATGCTTGGATATGGCGTCCCACTGTAGTCGTCTGATATCGAACAATCTGAACCATTGATGTGGATGTTGTTTGTGGTCACTGTCTTTACACCGTAGATAATAGCAGCCGGTAAGGCGACAATCAAAGACATGACTGAGCACACAGCGATTGTGACTTTAGCATCTAACCATGTTGCCTGTCTTTGAAAAGGTCGGCAAATTCTCCTGTACCTGTCCACTGCTACAGCTAGGAGAATGGATGTAGACACATAAGATACAAATGTTACGATTACTCCCTTGATCTTGTACAAGCCGTATCGTGCTAATGTGTATCTATATCTCAAGTCAGCTATTTCATGAGGTATGCATATGCCACAGTTGATAAGGTCAAATATTGCCAGGGCTATTATATATCTATTGGTGGGGCTTGGTTTGAACTTTGCAATGTACACGTAACAGACAAGCGAGTTCCCCAACAAGCCTAGCACCATCAGAACAGCAAGACACAAGATGGCGGGCAGAACCTGTAGGGCGTGACGATCGTCGTAGTCACGAAGGAAAGTCTTAAGGTCGTTCTGGAAACTGGTGTTCTCCATCATGTGCAGAGACTGCTGGAACATCTGAATGACCGATGGGAAAACCGTTCGTCTCCTCTGGACATCAATGACGACCTGAAACAGTAAATACAATTAGCTTTGTTCTGATTAACATCTATTTAGGTCATGACTCTCTGAATCCTTAGTAAGAAATGTTTACTGTTCTTGCATGGTGGTCAACGTGCTTTCATTATGCCATTAGCTCACAGTCAGCATTTACCATTATGCCATTAGCTCAGAGTCAGCATTTACCATTATGCCATTAGCTCAGAGTCAGCATTTACCATTATGCCATTAGTTCAGAGTCAGCATTTACCATTATGGCATTAGCTCAGAGTCAGCATCTACGATTATGCCATTAGCTCAGAGTCAGCATTTACCACTATGGCATTAACTCAGAGTCAGCATTTACCATTATGGCATTAGCTCAGAGTCAGCATCTACCATTATGACATTAGCTCAGAGTCAGCATTTACCATTATGGCATTGGCTCAGAGTCAGCATTTACCATTATGGCATTAACTCAGAGTCAGCATCTACCATTATGCCATTAGCTCAGAGTCAGCATCTACCATTATGCCATTAGCTCAGAGTCAGAATCTACCATTATGCCATTAGCTCAGAGTCAGCATTTACCATTATGGCATTAGCTCAGAGTCAGCATCTACCATTATGGCATTAGCTCAGAGTCAGCATTTACCTTTATGGCATTATCTCAGAGTCAGCATTTACCATTATGCCATTAACTCAGAGTCAGCATTTACGTGGGGACCCAACCAAATACTGGGCGTTACCACTGGAACGATAACTCTCAACCGAGTTGTTCTCCATTTGCCTGCATTGTTAGGGATTAAAATCAGTGAACCGTACTAATCCTTAGGACAATGTGGATTAAGGTTATAGTCTGTTTTAGTAATGCAAGTATGCCAGCAAGTCGTCACTGAAGAAACATCACTTCACTGTAGCTGAAGTGGTTCCACATCAGTCTCTCTCCTCCCTCGACTCAAAACTCGATGATTTCTTCTTGATTTCACTCTAAACTTATAACCATTGAATGCTAAACTCTGGCCACCCCAGGAATTGGGAACTGTGCCATTGTAGAACGTGGTAAACTAAATTGCCGTTTTATAACCACCTGGCTCATTGCTGAATGAGGAAAGTTCATCTTTATAAGATTATATTATCTGGCCTATTGCTGAATGAGGAAAGTTCACATTTACAAGATTATATTTACTCGCTCATTGCTGATTTAGGGAAAGTTCATATTTACAAGATTATATTTACTGGCCTATTGCTGAATGAGGAAAGATAATATTTACAAGATTATGTTTACTGGCTTATTGCTGATTGAGAAAAGTTCATATTTACAAGATTATATTTACTAGCCTATTGCTGAATGAGGAAACTTCATATTCACAAGATTATATTTACTTGCCTATTGCTGAATTAAGAAAGATCATATTTACAAGATTATGTTTACTGGCATATCGCTGATTGAAGAAAGTTCATCTTTACAATTTTATGTTTACTAGCCTATTGCTAAATGAGGAAAGTTTATATTTACAAGATTATATTTGCTGGCGTCTTATTGCTGATTGAACAAAGTTCATATTTCCAAGATTATATTTATTGGCTCATTGCTGATTGAGGAAAGATTATATTTGCAAGATTATATTTACTGGCACATTGCTGAATGAGGAAAGTTCATATTTACAAGATTATACTTAATGGCTCATTGCTGAATGAGGACAGTTCATATTTACAGGTTTACATTTACTTGCTCACTGTTCAATGAGGAAAGATCATATTTACAATATTGCATTTACTGGCTTATTGCTAAATAAGGAAAGTTCATATTTACAATATTGCAGTTACTGGCTTATTGCTAAAAGAGGAAGTTTATATTTAGAGGATTATATGTGCTGGCCTATTGCAGAATGAGGAAAGATCATATTTACAAGATGATATTTACTGGCTTATTGCTGAATGAGGAAGGATGATACTTACAAGATTATCTTTACTGGCTTATTGCTGATTGAGGAAAGTTCATATTTACAAGTTTATATTAACTAGCCTATTGCTGAATGAGGAAACTTCATATTCACAAGATTATATTTACTTGCCTATTGCTGAATTAAAAAAGATCATATTTACAAGATTATGTTTACTGGCATATCGCTGACCGAAGAAAGTTCATCTTTACAATATTATATTTACTAGCCTATTGCTAAATGAGGAAAGTTTATATTTACAAGATTATATTTGCTGGCGGCTCATTGCTGATTGAGCAAAGTTCATATTTCCAAGATTAGATTTATTGGCTCATTGCTGATTGAGAAAAGATTATATTTGCAAGATTATATTTACTGGCTCATTGCTGAATGAGGAAAGTTCATATTTATAGGTTTACATTTACTTGCCTACTGTTCAATGAGGAAAGATCATATTTACAATATTGCATTTACTGGCTTATTGCTAAATGAGGAAAGTTTATATTTAGAAGATTATATTTACTGGCTCAATGCTGAATGAGGAAAGTTCATGTTTACAAGATTATATTTGCTGGCCTATTGCTGAATGAGGAAAGTTCATATTTACAAGATTATATTTGCTGGCCTATTGCTAAATTAGAAAAGTTCATATGCACAAGATCGTATTTACTGGCTTATTGTTGCATGAGGAAGTTCATATTTAGAACATTTTATTTTCTGGCCTATTGCTGAATACGGAAAGTTAATACTTACACAATTATATAGTTGCTGCCCTATTGCTGAATGAGGAAAGTTCCTGTTTACAAGGTTATATTTACTTGCTCATTGCCGATTGAGGAAAGTTCATATTCACAAGATTATATTTACTGGCTCATTGCTGAATGAGGAAAGTTCATATTTACAAGATTATATTTACTGGCTTATTGCTGAATGAGGAAAGTTCATATTTACAAGATTATATTTACTGGCTCATTGCTAAGTGAGGAAGTTCATATTTAGAAGATTATATTTACTGGCTTATTGCTGAATGAGGAAAGTTCATATTTACAAGATTATATTTACTGGCTTATTGCTAAATGAGGAAGTTCATACTCAGAACATTATATTTACTGGCCTGTTGCTTGCTGAATAAGGAAAGTTCATATTTACAAGAATATATTTACTGGCTCATTGCTAAATTAAGAAACTTGATATTCACAAGATTATATTTATTTGGTCATTGCTGAATGAGGAAGTTCATATTTAGAAGATTTGGTTTACTTGCATATCGCTGAATGAGGACAGTTCATGTTTAAAAGGTTATATTTAATGGCTCATTGCTGAATGAGGAAAGTTCATATTCACAAGATTATATTTACTGGCTCATTGCTGAATGAGGAAAGTTCATATTTACAAGGTTATATTTACTTGCTCATTGCTGATTGAGGAAAGTTCATATTTACAAGATTATATTTACTGGCTCATTGCTGATTGAGGAAAGTTCATATTCACAAGATTATATTTACTGGCTCATTGCTGAATGAGGAAAGTTCATATTTACAAGATTATATTTACTGGCTTATTGCTAAGTGAGGAAGATCATATTTAGGAGATTATATTTACTGGCTTATTGCTGAATGAGGAAAGTTCATATTTACAAGATTATATTTACTGGCTTATTGCTGATTTGAGGAAGTTTATATTTAGAAGATTATATTTACTGACTGACTGACTGAGTTTGGCTTTACGCCGCTTTTAGCAATATTCCAGCAACATCACTGCGGGGGACACCAGAAATGGGCTTCACACGTTGTACCCATGTGGGGATTCGAACCCGAGTCTTCGGCGTGACGAGCCAACGCTTTAACCACTAGACTACCCCGCCGCCCCTATATTTACTAGCCTATTGCTGAATGAGGAAAGTTCATGTTTACGAGATTACATTAGTTATGTTTACTGGTTTATTGCTGAATGAGGACAGTTCATATTCACCGTTTTTGATGTCTTTGCAGTTGTCAGTTCAGTCCATCGTTACATCTGGGCACACATTCTCTCTTCATTTCCCCAATGTATTCCGTACTTATTAGAAGGTGCAGGATATTTTCCTGAACTACGTTCAACCATTACAGATGTTTGACTACTAGTCTATTAGAGCGTACTTCAAACTGGAGAAGTATTGACAATGAAATGGGTTTTGAACTTCTATCATATCATTATATACCAAACACTGGGTATGTTTCCTTCCCTGTTGGTCGACTTCCTCATGCAAAGGAATCGGGATTTATAAATATTGTATTCTTAGTCTTGGCGTTCCTCATACTGAAATGCCTGGAATTATAGTGAAAGCGGCATAAAACTTTATTCCAGATCCAAGATGCTTTTGAATGAAAACTTGGTTGAATACATACATTTCCCTACTTCCTTGTGTGATATGTGACTCGATATTACAAACTAAAGTACTGTAGTTGATAACAGTTGATATTGTAACTGATTTTGACAAATTCGGTGGAAAACGTTATTCACAAATCCTATGAGCATTTGACACTAAACGCGGTGATTACATTTCAGATATCGCCCGAAACTTAAGCAAACAAGTGATATGATGTACTTTCTCGCAGATAGCATCTTACTGAAAATTGAAGACAAGACATGTAGTCAGTCGGTCTCATGTCTGATGATGCTGGAATGGTTTGTCGCTTTAATCATTGTGCACGTGTGTGTGTGTGCACGTGTGTGTCTTTGTGTGTGTGTGAGCGTGCGTATATACGCCATTTTGTATTAAAAGTTTATATTTCAAGCTTATACAATGCCTATGCCAACATTGTAGTACTCTGTTGTTATTGTGAATGTAAGGTGGTATCCAACTCATTACAACATGTGACTAGTAAGGTGAAGTCTACCGTGTGATAGGACAGGATTTCAACGATGAGTGTTCACATTCGGTTTCCCTCTCCTAATCAGGGCCCCATTTTACGCAGCGATCGTAGCGCAAAGGTGATCGTAACTTCCTACAAAACGTTATTCCCACAAACGACAATGTTGATTACCGCTCCCTGATACACACAAACGTTCCGAATCGCTAATCGCAGTTCAGTCGTTCGAGTTTATGATTAAAATATTGTTCCTAAATGATCATATCTTATCTCTCTGCCCTTGACCACCTTATCACGTTGACATGTAACTATATATATGAGTTGTCAGTCAAACACAAGCAGGTGTTGCACAGTGTACATCTTTTCATTTCACAACACGTCCGTTGTCCAGTAGATCTGACTGCCCGGGGGTCAGAAAGGGCAAGGGTTCGATGTTCTGGCCACGGCATAACAAAAGACTTTAAAATATGGTACTTAATTAAGAGGATAAAACAAGGGCAGTTTTGTGAGAGTTGTTGGGATGTCATTTCTATCCATGCTACTACCAGCCGCCACACACATACGTGTTACATATGAACCACATTTCACTGTATGTCACATCATAGAAGATTTGGATGAGTGGAATTGAGTTTTCATATTCCATCCATTTTAAGATGAAGGGATACCAAGACCGTGAAACATTGTCGGAAAACCACCTCGGATCAACGATGTAGTGGACAACGACACGTTCTAGCCAGCATAGACTACCCCATCAACTCCATGGTCTGCTTACTGCATGGTGGAAGCGGTTGAAGCGTTTCGAAATTTCGAGTTCGAATCCCACTTGGATCCCGCATTCACTGGAATATTATTCAAATCGGCATAAAAGTAACTGAAGAACATCTACTCAACAGAAGGCCATGTCATACATTAATATCTGAATATTTAGTGTATCTTAAGCCGACATTGCGTTCATCTGTGTCCTGAGAACAATCAGCTGAAGTGGTTACCTGACCCAAGTCTGCTATCTGTAATATGTCTGGAAATAGACTGAGTAACCCAGTCATGGTTTGATAACTGGGAAACGACATAATAGGTACTACTGTTTGCAGCCATGTTTCGCTATGTCAGCCACGAGTTCGGACATGGTCTTGAGACAAGTAAAATTGATGTATAGCTTAAATACTAGTACATCTAAAATGCACATTAGGTGCAATAGTTGTAATTTCAGGACGTGCCCAAAACGAAATTTCAAATTCATCTTTTCTCATGCCAGAAACAGATAATCGTGGATTCGAATACCAAAGTTACCATCATGACGTTTAAAGGGTTGTCAGCACCACAATCGTGGCTGATTTCACCAAAGTTGTACTCGTCTTAGACCTGCAATACTTAGGGATTTTCTGTGGGGAGCGGTAGGATAGCCTAGTGGTCAAAGCGTTTGCTCTTCACGCTGAAGACCCAGGCTCTATTCCCCACATGGGTACAACGTGTGAAGCCCATTTCTGGTGTCCCCCGCCGTGATATTGATGAAATATTGCTAAAAGCGGCGTAAAACCTCACTCGCTCACTCACTAACTCACTGCGGGCTTTCCTCCAATATCTAGTCTGAATGATCACTGAATTGCTGTTAACAGGTGCGTCCAACCATACTCACTGACTGTGATATAATATCCACTGGTCAGTGAAAGTGAAGGAACACAACCATATAGCGACATGAGAAGGGAATAGAATAAAACGGCACCGTAGTTTTAGTTAAGAAGTAATAACAAGTAGATATGGAATGCATGTTTAATCAGACCAAAAACAGATGGATGCAAAATACAGAGTACCTGGAGTATCACTGCCTTTGATATCCAGTCATTTGACAAGAGGCAACTTTCCTAATATATATACACACTGATCATTTTCCTGTTCCACTGAATTCAGATATAAATGCCCCCCCAGAAGTCAAACTACAGGACCTATAAGATACAAATGTCTACGCACTGAGTCAAACATGATATGCAAGCACCTGTTCTAGATACAAATGTTGAGTTCAGCCTATTCCTAGATACAAATGCCCCCAGTGGGACAAGCATGAATACTCAGGACATTCTAGACAAATGATATACTATACCGGTGACCTATTCTAGATACAAATGTCCACAGTGAGACAAACATGATATGATGAGGACCTATTCTAGATACAAATGTCCACAGTGATACAAGCATGATATACTGAGGACCTATTCTAGATACAAATGTCCACAGAAAATCAAGCATGATATGCTGGTGACCTATTCGAGATACAAATGTCCACAGTGAGACAAGCATGATATACTGGTGACCTATTCTAGATACAAATGTTCACAGTGAGACAAGCATGATATTCTGAGGACCTATTCTAGATACAAATGTAAACAGTCAGACAAGCATGATATACTGGTGACCTATTCAATACAAATGTCAACAGAAAGTCAAGCATGATATACTCAGGACCTATTCTAGATACAAATGTCCACACTGAGACAAGCATGATATGCTGGTCACCTATTCGAGATACAAATGTCCACAGAAAGTCAAGCATGATGTACCAGTGACCTGTTCTAGATACAAATGTCCATAGTGAGACAAGCATGATATACTGGTGACCTATTCTAGATACAAATGTCCACAGTGAGACAAGCATGATATACTGGTGACCTGTTCTAGATACAAATGTCCACAGTGAGACAAGCATGATATACTGGTGACCTATTCTAGATACAAATGTCCGCAGAAAGTCAAGCATGATGTACCAGTGACCTGTTCTAGATACAAATGTCCATAGTGAGACAAGCATGATATATACTGGTGACCTGTTCTAGATACAAATGTCCACAGTGAGACAAGCATGATATACTGAGGACCTAGATACAAATTCTAGATACAAAGATGTCCACAGTGAGACAAGCATGATATACTGAGGACATTCTAGATACAAATGTCCACAGTGAGACAAGCATATGCTGGTGACCTATCCTTGTTCTAGATGCCTGTTCTAGATATGTTGCTGAATTCTTGTTTTATTAAACAGTTGTTAACAGGGAGACCTGTGACCTTGAGTTAGCGTTTCCCGAACAACCTAGCAGCTGCGTGTCATAAAAATGTCTCTGTTCATTTTAGTCATTGTGTTATGGGTGGAGATTCCTTCTAAAATCCTGATGTTTCAATTGTTGTATGTTTCTGATTAAACGATATGATGCACATTGTTAACAGGAGTTACGGAGTTAGTGTTTTTGAGCCTTGGGAGTCATTTCAAATATTCAACCAAATTTCCAGTATTTTTCTCGTTACTGCGTGATCATTCTATTTTAAAATATAAATGTTATTATATACTGTGCATTTTAGTCATTGTGTTATGGGTGAGATTCCTCTAAAATCCTGAAAAGGATGCTGTTTCAATGTGTTTGATGCAATCTGTATGTTTCTGACTTGTGGCCACATCGATATGATGCACATACTTCTTGTCCTGGTAGAAAGGTTCAGTTTGATTAACGTTATCTAAAATAAAGCTTACCCATGAAAGCATAGTGGTGTCGTTTTTAGGTTATAACTTTTACCCATGAGTCATTTCAAATATTCAATATTTTATCCAAATTTCCAGTATTTTTCTCGTTACTTTCATTATTGTTTCATTATTGAATAGATTTCAATCTATTTTTAAAATATAAATGTTATTATATACTTGGACAAATGACAAAATAATCGAGGTAACAAGGAGAGTTCTAGAAAGTAGTTAAATTGCAAAAAAATACAATACAACCAGAAATTATTGAGAATTTAAAGATTGTAAATTTTTAATTTTTTTCACTCATTACTCACGTATTAAATGTGAATATTAGCAGAACATAATTGCAGATTCAAAGACAGGTGAACAGTTAGTATTTTGTCAAGTCACCATGGGCAGCAACGCAGGCTTCAATGCGGCGGGGCATACTACAGATCAAAGAAGTTAGAAAGTCGTGGTTCATGCTGTCCCAATATCGGACCACCCAAACATTTTCTTTTGGATTTAAGTCAGGGCTATAGCTTGGACAATCTAATAATGTCATATTTTGGGTCCGAAACCAGGCCTGTGAATGCTTTGAACGATGTTTTGGGTCGTTGTCCTGCTGGAAAATCCAAATATTTCCACAGAACACATGAGCAGATGGAAGTAAATGTCCCTCGAGAATATCTGTGTACCGCTCACTGTTCATATTCCCTTCAAATACACAGAGGGGCTTTGCCCCTAACACAGATATGCCACCCCACACGTTAAATTTCGGATTGTACTTTGGGCGCTGATACAAAGGTTTTTCAGTTTGTTTGGTCCAGAATTTCAGTGTATTAGGAAACAGCCACTCAGAACTTTCATCTGAGAAAATCACATTGTCCAAGTTAAAATTTCTATGCTGTAAGCACCAGTTCAACCTTCGCTGCTTTTGTTCAGGTTTCATGATCGGTGATGGAATTCCTCGACTTTTCTGCCAACCCATTGCATGCAGCTCAGTTCTAATTGTTCCACTATCAATCATATCCAGCCTTAAGTTTTCTAAACTCCTTCGTTTGTGTTTAGAAACAAGAATACCAAGCCGCCTCCTGTCACCGACAGTCAATTTTCTGGGCCTACCTGCGCCTCCCTGGTGCTCAATGCCATATCCATTTGCAATATTTTTCAGAAAACTATAAACAGTGGACAAAGGGATGCCTGTTCTACTTGAAATCACTTGAGCTGATCTGATGTCCTTGTTATAATACTTATATACTGTATATACTGTTATAATAATTGTTATAAGCAAGAGAACAAAGGGGGATAACTCTTCACAAAAACTAATGAAAAAGGATTAACGGAGCTGTCTCTCTTAAATGAAACCAAGCACTTGATAGCTGGTCAAGGTTGTTCATACTAGAAATCCAATTAAACATAATCCTAAAATTCTCCATAATTTCTGGTCATACTATATGTGAAGAGAAAATAATCTAAATTTCGAGTTTTTAAAATAAACTTTAATAACGAGAATACAGTCGAGTAGCAAGAAAAGAATCGAAATTTTGAAATGTACATTCTTAAACGAAAGGAAAATCAAAGAATAAAATTGGAATATATTACGTTTTTTAACAAACAAAAAATACCCACCCGCCCTCAAGTAAAGAAGGACAGCAGGATGTTCAAGCATTACCTAATTAGGGGGTTCAGAGAAGGTGGTGATCTTCACTTCCTTGTTGGCGTTTTGCCACGTCTGGATGAACCTTCGAATTCCGTTCACCCACACAGTAGAAACAGGAGACGCCCGGGGGTCCTTTATCACGAACGTCATCACCAGCTGGGTGGAGTTCTGATAGTTGCTGCCTGAAAGATCAGGAAATACTGGCTGATAATCGAAAATGTATCAATTCAATTATAGTAGTACTTGAATTCGCAGTTCGCTGTGCAAAGCTCTAGTTCCAGGGTCATTGGTTCGAGTTCCATATCAGTTTGACTATTATCCTTGGTTAATCTGTGCCAGTTACGTGCTACTTGAAATTTGGTAACTTCAATGACCCGCGTGTCTTTTGGCTTTCTTCCAACTCCATAATTTGTTGGAATAATGTTTTCCTCAAACGCCTTAGTTGAACAGAGTGAGACCAGGTTTTTATTCACGTTTATTTATTATACATAACTCGATTTTAATTATTGTTGACTTTAACTGTATATTTTGGGTACAGACGCATCTGTGGACATCGACACATTTCGCTGAGACAACTCACATTTGCATAAAAGTTACGTTACTTCATGTTGTAATGTTGCTGTGTAAACGTGAGACATGACATATATTTTACCTATAGAAATAGGTCGTGATACGAGGACTGGAAGGTTGTGAATAGTGAACCCTGTATATTCTGAACATTACATTTTAATGAAATGGTAATCAAGACCTACTAAGAACACCCCCAAAAACCCCAAACAAAAACAAAAACAACCCCCAAAAAAACAAACAAACCCAAAACCCAACAAAACAACCCCCACCCCCACCCCCAAAAAAACAAAACAAAACAAAAACAAAAACAAAAACCCTCAAAAATCAAAACAACAAAAACAAAACAAAGCGAAAAAACAGTACAAACAAAGCAAAACAACAAAAACTGTAGATTACTCTGTGGATAATGTTCAATCTATATGCATAAATCGACGCTCCTGTGTGGTTTTCAATCTACCAAGCTACTTATCTGATTCCTTACCAGTCAAACCGTGTGTATAGTCTCTAAAAGACAAGAAGGATATAGTCACTCTCCACCTACCGTCATATCCACAAAATATCTGGGAGGGTTCGACCACTCCACCATAGTCCGACACACAGGACAGGTTCAGAGGAAGGTCAGGTTGTCTGGGGGTACCTGGAACGATACGGGTGAATTAGATTTAGTATAGTAAAGTTACGCATCTTTCTTCATGAACTAATACCATTACATTCTACCCACGGATAGATAGATGGATGGACGTACGGGCAGACGCCCGTACGAACGGACGAACGGAAGGAAGGAAGGATGGATGAATGGATGATATACAATCATAATGACGCCCACCCGGCAACTTACCAAACCAAGCATTCAATCAATTCCGTTCAATCAGTTCAATCAGTTCAATCAGTTCAAGCTGACATTAACCTGAAGCACAGGAGGAGGTGATCCAGGTAGTCAGGCTTAATGAAAAATCCTGAAGGGTCCATCACTTTCTTGTCCACGTTTCGGTTGCTGTTTTGAAAGTATTGTAGGACGCTAGGGACAGTACAGTGTTTGGTGACGTTGTCATGTAGACATATGTTGTCCAGGGTAACACTGATGGAGGCCACGGTGAAGCTCAACGTTTGTATTTTAGTCTGCAAATCGAGTATCTGTAAAATGAACAGGACCGTGAATGACACACCAAACTTTGACAATCATAATGGACAAACATGACAACACGTGGACAATAAGCTATGGATATGACAGACATGACGAGAAGTGGAAAATAAGCTATGGATATGACAGACATGACGACACATAGACAATAAGCTATGGTCATGACAGACACGACGACACAAGGACAATACACTCTTGATATGACAGACATGACGACACACGGACAATAAGCTTTAGATTTGACAGACATGACGACACATGGACAATAACCTATGGATATGACAGACATATCGACACATAGACAATAAGCTATGGATATGACAGACATGACGACACATGGGCAATAAGCTATGGTCATGACAGACACGACGACACAAGGACAATACACTCTTGATATGACAGACATGACGACACATGGACAATAAGCTATAGATTTGACAGACATGACGACACATGGACAATAAGCTATAGATATGACAGACATATCAACACATGGACAATAAGCTATGGATATGACAGACATGACGACACATGGACAATAAGCTATGGTCATGACAGACATGACGACACAAGGACAATACACTTTTGATATGACAGACATGACGACACACGGACAATAAGCTATAGATTTGACAGACATGACGACACATGGACAATAAGCTATGGATATGACAGACATGACGACACATGGACAATAAGCTATAGATTTGACAGATATGACGACACATGGATAATAAGCTATAGATATGACAGACATGACACATGGACAATAAGCAATGGATATGACAGACATGACACATGGACAATAAGCAATGGATATGACAGACATGACGACACATGGACAATTAGCTATGGATATGACAGACATGACGACACATGGACAATAAGCTATGGATATGACAGACATGACGACACATGGGCAATAAGCAATGGATATGACAGACACGACGACACAAGGACAATACACTCTTGATATGACAGACATGACGACACATGGACAATAAGCTATAGATATGACAGACATGACGACACATGGACAATAAGCTATGGACATGACAGACATGACGACACATGGACAATAAGCTATGGATATGACAGACATGACGACACATGGACAATAAGCTCTTGATATGACAGACATGACGACACATGGAATAAGCTATAGATTTGACAGACATAACAACACATTACGGACAATAAGCTATATACATGACAGACATGACGACACATGGACAATAAGCTATGGATATGACAGACATGACGACACATGGACAATAAGCAATGGATATGACAGACATGACGACACACGGACAATAAGCTATAGATTTGACAGACGACGACACATGGACAACAAGGATATGACAGACATACCTGACAATACAGACAATGGAAGCTATGACAGACATGACGACACATGGACAATAAGCTATGGTCATGGCAGACACGACGACACAAGGACAATACACTCTTGATATGGCAGACATGACGACACATTGACAATAAGCAATGGATATGACAGACATGACGACACACGGACAATAAGCTATAGATTTGACAGACATGACGACACATGGACAATAAGCAATGGATATGACAGACACGACGACACATGGACAATAAGCTATGGATATGACAGACATGACGACACATGGACAATAAGCTATGGATATGACAGACATGACGACACATGGACAATAAGCTATGGATATGACAGACAAGACGACACATGGACAAGAAGCTATGGTCATGACAGACATGACGACACATGGACAATAAGCTATGGATATGACAGACATGACGACACATGGACAATAAGCAATGGATATGACAGACATGACGACACATGGACAATAAGCTATGGATATGACAGACATGACGGCACATGGACAATAAGCTATGGATATGACAGACATGACGACACATGGACAATAAGCTATGGATATGACAGACATGACGACACATGGACAATAAGCTATGGATATGACAGACAACCACCTATGGAAACAATGACAATGGGACAGTCAGCTGTAGTCAGAAGGACACGTGTGCTATCAACAGTGGACATATCAAAAGTCTGTTCAAAGTCAAGTGATATTTATCATTAAAAAAAACAGCACCTGACTAAATTTGAACCTTTGAAACTCTCGTTACACATTTGGCCCAACAAAACTGATTAGGAGTATCCAACTGACCTGATGCAGGAAGGCTTTCTCGAAGACTGCTTGGAACATGATGCTCTGCAGACTTGGGGGAGGGTAGAAATGCTTTATCCTTGAGTGGTTGCCCAGTCTCTGGATCAACAGGTGCAGACTCGCATACCCCGGGCTGCAGTTATAACGGGCAAAACGTCAGAACGTTTACGATAATGGGATGGAATGGCGATTGGTTGGATGAACTCTATGATTATTCTTCCGAGAAGAGCAGGACGTACGGTACTTCACTGTAGGGGTGTGTTTGCGGCTGAATATGGCTTGTCCTTCCGTCTCCATTTCCATACATTTTCTCTATTTCTCCCCCTATTTCTGTCTCTCCTTTCTCTGTCCTTCAATGTGCCGTCAATGTGCTATCCCGGTCTTGTTTCTACCGATCCCTAACCTCGTTCACCACCTCACCCTTTCCTGTTAACCCCTCTACCCATGCCCTCTTCTACTATGCCTCTCCGTTTCCCTCTTGCCTTTCCCTCTCCCCCTCCCGTCTCTTCTTGCCCTACCCTTTCCCCGTCCAATCTTGTCCTTCCTCTCGTAGTTTCTCCGTCTCTTCTTGCCCTACCCCTTTCCACGTCCAATCTTGTCTTTCCCCTCGTAATCTCCACGTCTCTTCTTGCCCTACCACTTTCCCTGTCGAACCTTGCCCTACCTATTTTCCCATCCACTCTTGTCTTTCTCCTCTCCCCGTCCAGTCTTGTCCTTCCCTCTCCACGTCCAGTCTTGTACTTTCCCTCTCCCCGTCAAGTCTTATCCTTCCCCTCTCCCCGTCCAGTCTTGTACTTTCCCTCTCCCCGTCCAGTCTTGTCCTTCCCCCCGTCCAGTCTTGTACTTTCCCTCTCCCCGTCCAGTCTTATCCTTCCCCCTCCACGTCCAGTCTTGTCCTTCCCCTCTCCCCGTCCAGTCTTGTCCTTCCACTCTCCCAGTTCAGTATTGTCCTTCCCCTCTCCCCGTAAAAACTTTTCCTTCCTCTCTCCCTGTCCAGTATTGTCCTTCCCCTCTCCCTGTCCAGTCTTGTCCTTCCCCTCTCCCCGTCCACTCTTGTCCTTCCCCTGTCCCCGCCCAGTCTTGTCCTTCCCCTCTCCTCGTCCAGTCTTGTCCCTCCCTCTCCCCCTTCCCAGTATTGTCCTTACCCTCTCCCCGTCCAGTATTGTCCTTCCCCTCTCCCCGTCCAGTCTTGTCCTTCCCTTCTCCACGACCAGTCTTGTCCTTCCCCTCTCCCAGTCCAGTCTTGTCCTTCCCCTCTCCCCTTCCAGTCTTCTCCTTCCCCTCTCCCAGTCCAGTCTTGTCCTTCCCCTCTCAACGTCCAATCTTGTCCTTCCCCTCTCCCCGTCCAGTCTTGTCCTTCCCCTCTCCCCCCTCCAGTCTTGTCCTTCCCTCTCCCCGTCCAGTCTTGTCCTTCCCCTCTCCCCGTCCAGTCTTGTCCTTCCCTCTCTTTGTCCCTTCCCCGTCCAGTCTTGTCCTTCCCTCTCCCGTCCAGTCTTGTCCTTCCCTCTCTCCCGTCCAGTCTTGTAATTCCCCCTCTCCCCGTCCAGTCTTGTCCTTCCCCTCTCCCCGTCCAGTCTTGTCCTTCCACTCTCCCCGTCCAGTCTTGTCCTTCCCCTCTCCCCGTCCAGTCTTATCCTTCCCCTCTCCCCGTCCAGTCTTATCCTTCCCCTCTTCCTTCTCCAGTATTGTCCTTCCCTCTCCCCCCGTCCAGTCTTGTCCTTCCCCTCTCCCTGTCCAGTCTTGTCCTTCCCCTCTCCCCGTCCAGTCTTGTTCTTTCCCTCTCCCTGTCCAGTCTTGTCCTTCCCCTCTCCCTGTCCAGTATTGTCCTTCCCCTCTCCCAGTACAGTCTTGTCCTTCCCCTCTCCCCGTCCAGTCTTGTCCTTCCCGGTCCTTTCCCCCGTCCAGTCTTGTCCTTCCCCTCTCCCCCGTCCAGTCTTGTCCTTCCCCTCTCCCGTCCAGTCTTCCCCTTCCCCTCTGCCCTTCCAGTCTTGTCCTTCCCCACTCCCCCGTCCAGTCTTGTCCTTCCCCTCTCCCTGTCCAGTCTTGTCCTTCCCTCTCCCCGTCCTTCTTGTCCTTCCCCTCTCCCCGTCCAGTCTTGTCCTTCCCTCTCCCCGTCCAGTCTTGTCCTTCCCCTCTCCCCGTCCAGTCTTGTCCTTCCCCTCTCTCCCCGTCCAGTCTTGTCCTTCCCTCTCTCCCCGTCCAGTCCTTCCCCTCTCCCCGTCCAGTCCCCTTCCCCTCTCCCCGTCCAGTCTTGTCCTTCCCTCTCCCCGTCCAGTCTTGTCCTTCCC